ATGGGGTCAAACCCCCGTGAACTTAGTCGACAAAATGTACTATATAGCTCCACCACAGCCGGAGGAACAGACACGACAGCACCAGTACTGTCCCTGCCAAGCCTGAACCAACCTGAGCACAATACTCGGGCTCTAGTCCTGTGAAGTCAAATTATATACACCCGTGGCTGAGACTGCCTAGGTACAGATCCTCAGGTGAATGCAGGACCGGACGGCTTTATATGACAAATCGGGTGTCGTCCGGTACCCGCCCCTATCTAGAGCAACACAAACCTCGCGGCATCCCGCGATGATATCTGCTAAGAAGCAGACATCATGCTCCGTCTCGAGAACAAACTGTATATTTACATTGGTCTCAACTCTGCGTCTTGTTATTTAACTTTCGTGATAAGGAATTTGCACACTGAAAACGATAATGAAACCTCTAAACAAAACAAAAGCTCGCATTCGTCGTGACGAACATGAACTTATTCATGTGTACCTCAAACCTGCCGATGGCAGACCATCACAGCTCGTTTCGCAAGTGATGTTCCGAGAATTTTCTTATAAAACCATTATTTTAATTTCTTGTAATTCTACTTAGAAAATTAAATAACACTTTCTAAAGTATAGGTTTCTATGATACAATCAGATTATAAAATTTTACTCAGTCGGGAATAATTTTCGTATTTGCTATTGATATGACAATAATATGCTAACAATATGACTAAATTTAATGAATGTCGCGAATTTATTAGCTATAATTACTAACGTTTAATGAAGACCGCTTTACAGTTATCACTAATTTTCTAATATTTTTCTTTTTAAACCCGGTCGTTATAATAATATTCAAAATATTTGCAGTTTTTTTTCAATTACATTTATAATCGCCTTTTTTTTCAGAAAATCCATAAAATCAATTTTTGCCAAAGTGCAATATGAATGTAGCTCATTGATTAATATCTGAAAAAATATGATAATATCTCCTTCATTCTCATGATAAAGTCTGTGATTGCCAGTAAAATTTATTATGACAGTTTATGTTTTTTGTTTGCTAAATTTAACAGTTAATCTACTTTATCTAATATGCAAACATGTATGAACCATCAAATTTTATAGCTAAATTATCTGTGTAAAACACGGCAGTTCCAGAATTTATCCGTAATTTTAGCTCCAATAGTATAAGAAAGTTTCTATCATTTTAAACAAATTTAGTAACAGAAAAAAGGCCTGAATTTTATTATGTTAAAAAACTGAGGCTGAAAGATCAAAATATGTTAAAAAATTTAGTGTGTCATGTAACCAGACGTAAAAAAATGTTTTAGCTACCGTCCATTTTATTTCTGATGGTAAAAATTTACGGTTAAGACATTTTAATGAGAAAAATTGTGTTAATGCGAATTTCTAAAAAAGACTTCTTAATAATGTAAAATTAAAAACAAAATCATTTTTGCTGTTTCTGTAATTTTTACTTGACGAAACTAAAATGTCAAAGTAAACTAGTATAACCTACAACGCTGAGATTATTATCTCATGGAAGATATAATGGTTTATTATCTGATGGAACTAGCTTGATATTATGATAAGCCTAAACGAATAAACTGGCTATATTGAAGTTTTATGAAAATTGGGAAAAGAGTAAAATCTTATGTAAAGATATTTATTTAGTAAAAATGCATCTTTCCCATAAATGAAATCAATAAATCCCTATTTGAAAATACCACAGTAAAAATGCAAGCAACAAAAGGTATTCTCACTGGATATGAGTAGTTTTGTGGGTTAAAAAAAACTACAGTGCTTTAGAAAACACTCGAGAATTTTAATGACTTCTATGACTAATGACTTTAGTGACAGTTCTTTTTATACTATGCAGTACTTCCTTGAATTAAAAAAGATTTATTCTAACAATAAGTCACTTCCGTTTCACAATTTCTAAATCTTTTGCTTTTTAAGGTTTCAAAGTAATCATTAAAATTCTTTATACACTCTTTATTGTGTAATGAAACGTGATCCTGTGCGTGAACCTAATTTATCTGCAGAATTTTAGTAATTATATCAGTGATTAATAACAACATACTTGCGTTTCATATTGTGTTTAATAAGCATTCTATTTAAATAAACGGAATAGAAAACCAAACCTAAAGTTCTAACAACTACACTACTAAAAGTAATTAAAATATCTATCACATGGCCCTATAAAATGTGGGTTAAATATTTTTCTTCAACATAAAAGAAAAATATTCTGTCAAGGACTTGTCAAGTTTTCAAATGTTCGATGATTCAGAAGTAAAAAGCTTAAATAATTTATGTTCCTGAATATTTCTTACGAAATTAAAAATGCATGCGATCTTCTCGAACAACTAGACATCACTTAGCATGTGCTGTCTAGCTGTGTTAAGTGCTGTCTAGCTGTTCCAACAGCACTTAGCGCAAAATTTGTTAAACATTTAATGTATCACGTGGTTCAGCAAATTTAAAGGCAATCTCTTTCACTCTTCTACAAGTGTCCACATGGTCTCAAATTGTCAGACAAGGTTTTGGTCACTCCGCAGCACTTCCTCTTAGACCATCCCAAGTATGTTGCACACGTTTCAGGTCGGATCAGCATGAGAGCCTTGCTATATGCTTGATTTCCAGCTTCAGAAACCAAACTTTCACAAGACGTGTTTCGTGACATAGAGCATTAGTCTAAAAAGAATGTAACGACGATGGCTCTTATACAGTTCAAGATAAAATATCCAGATCGTATCCTTATACCGTCTACGAATCTGTCTTCCACATGATGTAGAGGTCGGTATATCCGCATACAAGCATTCCTGCCAAAATTATCAGTCCTTTACTTCCGTTTTCTTAACTTTTCATGAACGGCATTAAAATTGTTTATTATATTGCGTTCTCTTTGTATAAGCTACAATGATCTGCTAACTCGAAACAGAGTCTTGATCCCTGTATGAAGAGAACTTAACCCTACTATGGGTTAACCTACTACTTTGCTCATCTACCAAGTTCTCCGCATCCAACGGTATCTTAAGATTGAAGGACCATAAACTTCAAATCCACATGCTTAAAATTCCTACTAATGAAGGCAACTTTGTTTGGGTCAATACATTTTGCGGCATTTATTGTTATCTTCTCGATGGGTAATTATGGACAAAAATGACATTGGCTTCTTTCACACAGGCAATTTTGGCTGACCTTCTACAAACATTTTCAGTAGCTTGGAATGGGTCCCAGCGTCAATTAACTGAATTTGAAAATACGCAAACAATTCACGAGTTCCCGTTTACGAGTTGCTACCTCAACGTTGACTCTTGCAAATCATAGCGCTGAGACAATTCACGAAATCTATCTGCAGAAACGTAGGAAATATACCACTGAAAAACCTAAATAACATAATATTGAAATCCCAGTTATCTACTGTCATATTTATGAATTTCGAAATTTACATATTTTAATATCGTTTTGTTTCATAAATCTATTTCTGATGGCTTTCAAGTGGTAAATTTGTAGTCCGAAAATTTTAATTTAGATTTTACATGCTAGGTGAATGATACTGTTTCTAAAGCAGATTAATGCATTTTAATAAGCACTTTAGTTTGTAATTTAAAAAAAATATGTCTCAGAAGTGATAATTTCTGTATCGATTCAAACAAAAGTGAGACCTTTATGAAAACATAAAGCTCGTGGTTCGAAAACTGTTGTTAGTCACACTAAGAAAATGAAATAATTTTGCTTCAGAACTAAGAGATACAATAAGGGAGAATATATATACAGTTTACTAATAGGTTATTGCTGAAATAGTAATGACGAGATAAGAACTAATGTACACAGAATCATAATATTTCAAACATTGCATTTGTTACTACATAAGATTCCCAATTAACCGTTGTAATACTAGCGATGACATCCCCGTTAACTAAAATCACGGCTAAACCTACAGCAGGTAAGCATAGGAAGACTGAAGAACCTAGATTATAATTACGTTGAAAAATATTATTAATAATTTTCCTGTATTTTAAGCAGTTTAATTTGGAGAATAAGTTCATTTCATTACATAAATTAAACCTGCATTCAAAACAAGAATGAACTACAAAACATAAATAACAATTTTTGATTTATATTAGTCTTGTATTTCTATAACAGTCAGTGTAAAACATAAGATTAATAACTCTATACTTCTGGCTGTAGTTTTATGATTTAGTTATTTATTTTAACGGATGATTTAACAATGGTTATATATTGCAGATCATGTGCAATTAAATTAAATACAAATTATATACAATTAATAAAAAAACATAATCATGCAATATATAAGCTATGCACGTTTTCTCACTGGATAGCGTGCAGATGAAACATGCAATAAAAATTTCTTCCAAGTGAAATTCAATACTTTCTGTTTGGCCATGACACCAAGTTCTCTAAATGGGAAAATGAAACGCCTTGAAGAGGTTTCTTTTAAAGTACTTAATAATTATGCTGTGATAAAACATAAGAAGTGTTTCTGAGAAAAACAATTCAATAAGTCTCATTGCTTTAAACATTATCATAATTATATTATACATGCTTTATAATATAAATTTGTGCTAAACGTGTTATGTATATATATATATATATATATCGAATTGTACAATAATTACTAGTTTGTGTTATAGTATGCCTGTTTGGGTGCTTTTCTCGCAGAAGAAATAATATTGTAAATTTTCCCTTGTCCATTTTTCTCTTTATTATTCCCATATATTCTGAAACGATAAATTTTATTTGACAGAAATATGTAGTAAAGGGATAAGAGAGAAATGTCTTATCTGGGCCAAATATCTTGATTAATGTGCATCATAATGTAAAAACATAACCTAAGAACAATAAAAATTGTTTTTTACCCCCCCCCGATAATAGAAGAGTCTATTGTGGTTTTGCTAAGCACCCGGAAATCAGATTTTTTTTCTGTGTTATTCCTAAAATTTTTTAATGAATAAATAGCTATTTCACCTTATGTCACAAACTTGTGTTCCTTTTGCTTTCAGCTGTGATAGAGAGAAAAAAGATTTGGAAGAGAGCCAAGAAAGTGCAAGTGAAAAGGGTCCCGATATTATCCCTGAATCTAAAGAGTCGGAAGGTAAAGTTCCAATTTTCTTTCATAACTTCCTTTTGGCAAGCATTTGCTAATTTTTTGTGTGTCAATGTCATTGTTTTGCACAAAGAGAATCGTATAGAAACTAAGAAGAGTGATTACGAAAGCCGTTTTTATCTTAACTCTAAACAAAGCAACTTCTGTTCAATACATGATTAAGATTAAGATAATGTGAATATTTTTATCTTGAGGAAACAATGGGTAAAGCTTTCTTAAGTAGCTTTTTAAATATGTGTAGTAAAAAAATCTTTGTTTAAATTATCTGAATATCAGGATACGTTTTAATGATTAATGCTTAAAATATTTCTTTTTGTATAGATTTCGAAAGATTCCATAAGCTTCGAATTCTACGATACTAGCTTTGTCATAAATATACTCTAGCATATCCATTCTTGGCTAAATGCGTAATGGTTGATGTTTGTTCAAACGAAACTTCCTGGCACCTACACCCATTGAGAACACATGTCTTTAATAATAGATCAAACAGTCTATAATAGCGGTTCTCAATCTTTCGATTAAAGCGTACTATCTAAACAAAAACGGAAAACCTTTAATACTATCACTACATTTTACGATGACTGTCTTTCAACTTCCTCAATAGAAATATTAAAAAAATGTATTTTGCCATTTGCACAACCTATTGGATATTTGTATTAATTATGCACATAAAATATTAGATTAAAAATTGGTTACAATTTTAATTATCAAAATTTAAGTTATACTAAAATTTCTAAAACTTAGTGCGGATTTTAGTGTGCAAATTAGTTAATTCTATACAGAATTTTGTTGTGAATATTTCTAAAATTTAGTGGGAAATTTGGGGCTGTTTAAGAGAGATCAATTTCTACTAGTCTTATTTTACTTATTTTTAACCGTAAATTAGGATTAGTTTGAACTGTAAATTAGGATTAGTTTTAACCGTAAATTAGGATTAGTTTTAACCAAGGAGGTTAGAATAGAAGGAGGGAAGGTTCAACTCAAACGGTGAAGCTTGGCGGCCATCTTCCTGTTATCACCGTGACTTGTGCAGGGAAGTCTGTCATTGCAACATTTTTTTCTTTTCTTTTTGAAGCATGTCAGCTTGTATTGCATATGGATGCATAAATAGATTCTCGAAAAAAATTCCGGGCATTATTTTTCACACGTAAGTATTAATTTTCTTTTTTTCTTTTTTTTATGTAATATGACAACTATGTCAAAAAATATCACAATGTCATGTGGTTTTCTTTCCAGATGTGAAAAGAAGGACTTAAAATAGGTTATTTAATATAACTATAATCAAAATATATTAAATACATTTTAATGTTTCTGTTTATAGCTGGTATCTTCGTTCCTTAAGATACAATGCTATATGGTAGGATTTAAATTGTATAATTTGAACGTTTTAGTTAATTCGTTTTATAACTTTCATGAAAAGTAAGAAATCAATTGTTACTATTTTTATTAATTGTAAAGGTGGTAAATAAAGCAATGCTTTTTCTTTATATATTAATTATTATTCATTTTTTAAAGTTAAGATAAACTGTTCTGTTGTTAAAAATTTTTGTATAAGAAATTTCTGAGCAGTATAGTGATAAAATTAAGTAAAATATTTACACAATTGAACATGTGGAAAGATGTATCCAAAAACGTATATAGGTGTATTTCTGTAATTCAACTGAATTAAAGGCAGTTTCTTTGAGATTAATAAATATGAAATGCGCCATAAACTGAAATCAATGAATTCTGTTTTATTTTATTAAGATTTATTTCTAACCTAAGCGAATCCGTGAAATATGCAGAAACATCATTTTTTAAAGGCTTTAATGTTATGCGCATGCATTTAGATTTCGAACTATTTCTTAACAATTTGCTGTACATAGTAAATTATGGATATCATCTTTATTACTTTAAAACAAAAATTCAACAATAGCGGGGGATTTCATTATAAATTTAACATAATTTTACTGGAAAATAAATGCACGGAACAGCTTACAAACACATACATGTCACTGCCGTAATGCAATGTTTTGAAGTCACAAACATGGACGCCGCTTGTTCGGCGGAGTTTCATTCCCCGATAGTGGAGGAAACTGCGAACCCTCCCTCCTTCTATTCTAACCTCCTTGGTTTTAACCGTAAATTAGGATTCACTTTTAAATTTCTTCTGTATTGATTTTTAAAATATAACATGGAAGAAAATCCTTGTTCGCATAAATAGGTTGTCCAAACAGGCAATAAAAATTTGATAGCTTTATTTGAAACGCGTTTAAGTTCTTTCCTTCCCGGCAGCCAAACGTTAACAAGTTTGTTATGTTTGAAATCATCAGTTAGAGTTCGATCGCAGAAAATTTCTATCGCTTGTTATTTTTTTTCAGTAGAATTTTGAATTTAATTCTTAAAAATACTTTGTTTCTTTGCGTACCATCTATTTTTCTCCAGCGTACTACCGGCTGAGAATTGCTGGTCTGTATCAAGTCATGTCTGTTTGATTTTGATTAAACCCTTACTTAGAAAAATATTAAAATATAATGATTGGATGGTATATTCTGATAATCGAATTTAAAAGCAAATTTTGAATCTCTCCTATATTCTTCAATAAGACCTTTTAAATACTAACCTAAAGTCTTGTTAAATATTTTACTTCAACATTCCTTAGAGATATGGCTTCTTAAATTCCTACAGAATCCTTCATTAAAAAATAAACGTGATTCTTGCAATTTTATTTGACCTGGAACACCAATATAACCTCATGGTAGCTATAAATATCATGATGTATAAATTTTTTTGAGAAAATTTAGCATTCCATGTTTAGATTTACCAGTGTTAAAGCTTTAAATAGTTCTTCAATTTTAAACATATTAGCTAAAGTTGTAAAAGGTTAAAATTATAAACCAAATATACTTTATCAACTTACATTTAAAGAGTGTGCTTCTTAATCTAAATGAATGAAAAAATATAACATAATACTTCAAATTTAACATTTTCTAAATTTCAGTTGTATCACCTTGATAAATCCAAGTACAGTTTTAAAACTGAATTTTTAATTTGTATATTACTAAAAATTATTTTAAATTGTTCTTTATTAAAAGGCTTTTAATATTATTAGTCCAAAGGGATTTGAATCCCGAAGAACTATTAGTTTCGTTTTGGCATTTTGCGTCGGACTCATAAATGTCGGTTCACTTTTCAAACTGTTGCCACAAAATGTTAGAGTCCTGCATTATATTTGAAGAAATTAAATAATGAAAAATCTGCATAAATGTATGTATATTTCTCGTATTGTGATAAAACAACGGTACATAGAGTCAATCCTCCAACGAATATGAGCATGTGGAAGACCAAATTTGAAATTTAAAATTTGTTTTATGATCGATTTCCTATTTTTTAAAACTTTGACGAAATTTTGATTAACAAACTCAAGGATTTCAAAGCGAGCAATGGCAACGTTGTGCAGAAAAACATTTTTATCTCCAGCGCGTGAGTCTCTGTATCGGAAATTCTAAGGATATGCTCGTTTTAAAACTATTTTGCGATATTGCTGTTGCACTGGATCTTATGGTTTAAGTGCGAGGAACATGATATTTAATAAAGAAAGGTAACACACAAAATGTTAAAAAACGCCCCTTTGGACGTAATTTAAAATCTGAAACATTTCAGATTTTGTTTTATATATATTTTTTTTCCTTTTTTTATTATTCTTGTAAAATCTGAGATATTCAATATTCATTCCTTCTAGTCTTTTTCTTCTTCTACATTAAACGGAATGCTACTCCGTTTCTGCTTCACGCATATAGTAAATGATTTGTGATGCAGTTGCACCTACCAATTAGTTAATTGCATAATTCTTTATGATTAAGTATTTAATAGGATATCAAAATATTAATTGGGTGAAACGTCATTTTCCCCTTGTAAAATTGTCTTACTCGAGAACAATTCATAAATAATATTTTGCTGCCTGCAGCTTAATATTTTGAAGCTGAAATAAAATTTCAATACACGGTAACAAATAAAATTTATCTAAGCATGTAATTCAATTTGAGCTCGCTGGATTCTCAGTTTCGTCATTTCAAGTAAAATATATTTTATTCTACATTTCTGGTAAGAATTATTTTATTTTTCCAAACTAATTTAAATGGATTGTGCGGTCTATTATGGTAGAATTTGAGAGACAATAATTTAATACTATGATACAGTTCATATTAATCCGCTATGTTATTTAATTATTAACGAAGTAATGAAATTAAATTCAGTTTGGAAGATCTTTATTTGATGAAGGAGACAAACCTTTAAAAATATCCCCGTACTTACTGTTGCTGACAGGAAGAGAAATAAAAAATCCTTAATTTTCATTCTGATTAGCAGCGGTCATACCATAAGTTTATGTCTTGTATTATTTAGATTTTTGTTACGAGAAAATTAAATTATATTTAGAAAACTTTATTTTAACATGAAAGACTTTTATAATAGCTCATTCCTTTGTGTGATTGTTTGGAGTGGCTTTGTATAAAATATTCTTATATTGTATATTACTAATGTATGATGACATAGATCTTAAAATTTTAAAGTTAAATAGTATTCGCCGATGCATTTTGATTCAGAACTGGACTACTGGAATGCATAAACAATGAGAAACATTCTATATTTTCATCTTATTCTATATTTTCATCTTAATCGTTAACTTCTGGGAAGAGGAAATTTTTTAACCGTGAATATTGTTTCACCATATAATAGCTATTAAACTGTTATTTCTGTAACTAAATAATATCCATATTTTAATGAGTTCCGCGATATTATTTTTATTTCACAAAATTCAAATTTTTAGAAATAAATTAACGGAGTCAAATTCAAACAAATCTATATGGAAAAAATTTAAACTATCATCTAGAGTATTTAGGAACTATTTGAAAGAGATTTAACAGGTTTGCTCATTTTAAAACTTAAAAATAAATAAGAAAAAATTAGTTTAAGCATATGTAAGGATCTTATATTAAAGATTTCAGGTA